AAAAGTGAATTTTCACGAAACGAATACTGCGTATCGTTAAAATAAAATAAGTGAAAACGCTTTGCGGGATACACAAGTGTAAACGATACTACCACGTCGAAAGTGGTGAATGCAGAATAAAACGTAAATGCATAACGCAAGGTAAATGCATACCGTGGTAAACGCGAGACTAAAAAGAAAACAAAATATACAAAAGGCAAGGCTTCACGTTGTTGCTGCATATTATCACTAATAACTGATAATTATAAATATCTTTCCATCGAAGAAAACAAACGCTCCTGTACGATATGGCATAAAATAATTGTAACCGTATTACAGAAATAAATAAATAGTATAAAAAAAATTAAACGGACGTAGAATAAAGGAAACGTACTTGCAAGCATCGTAGTTGCATAGCGTGTTTATAATAGAAACAAATTGATCGAAATATATCGCAGGAATGATATGATCGAAGACTCGTTGGATAATTGAATTTCGTCGATTCTAAATAATTAGCTATCCAGAGCTCGAGTTCGAGTCACGAGACGCAGTCTATCCTTATCTAAATCCCGTTATTGCCCGGGATCGCCCTTTACAGGAAGTGGGTTGCCAGGACTCGCAAAGGACGTTACACTTTAGCGCTATCCATGGAAATGTTAATCCTCTAGAGTGCTCTCATACGCATCGATTTTCAAACATGGCGGACCGCACACGGTTTTTACGCTAAGACGTTTCGTCTTTAGTTCGGCGTGTTGCCGTATTCGGAAGAACGACTTTCTGCCCCCCGTCGACGATGAAGCAGCCAGGCGTATTGAATTTCACAAGAAATTCCATTTATAATCCTAACGTTCTGTCTTCTCGGATATCGAACAACTACATCGCAGGAAAGCGTATAGATTTGTAGCTACAATGAAAAAGAGTGTAACGAATAACGAAAGAATTCCTCTGTTCGATAGAATCTATTTGAAATCGGGTATAAACACCCGAGAGTTACTAAACTGACGCAAGGTGGCAGATGATGAAAAAGATCGCGTGATGCGTATAATTGGCACATGGGTGCAACCGTGTTTTTCGAGTCAGAAATAAAAACGTATAAGCCCAGGGAACAGCGTAACGAGAAGGAGCGGCTCTTCCTATCTTGCGACCAATGGGTGCGTACGGGAAGAGATATAGATGGTTCGCCTATTTACGAAGCTGGCTTTCGTGTTTGCGATCGGCAACGACGTTGATTCGCCGATAGGACACACGTGACGCCACACCCTTAAAATGAAGCTTTATGTCCTTCCTATAGATGAATCAGTGAGTAAATTAAGAACGAAAGAGAAAGGTAAACCTCGAATCATAAAACAGACGACTTTTTAAATATAACATAACCGACGAACAAAACGGTTTCTCTTACTTTATTTCAGAATATAGTGGCACTTCATTCGTTTCAAGTGCAAATGTAACGACGAAGTCGAACTCGAACAGTTTTTAATATTTCATGCTGTAATCAAGTGGATCTTAGAGGGCGTCTCAAACGAACATCGTACAATGTGTCTAGAGATATCGGAAATAACAGAAGTAGGATATAATCGCATCGATCAGTCAGGAATCTATTATATCATCTCCCTTTGACATTTTCGCTAACGTCCAATGACAAATGATCGGTGAATGATAATATGCGAGTAACAGGAAATGTTTGTGACCACTATCATGATATAACGTTGATTATTGTGGGGGAAAAAATATAAGAAAGGATGTACTAATGGGGATGTTTGTTACATCATAAACAGAAATAAAAGACTGATAATTGTGAAAACAATTATCAGGCTGCCTACAGCGTTGTGGAATTTCGGTGAATGCGTTATTAGCAGTGAATATGTTAGAAATGCTCTGGTGCTGGTGAACTGCATTTTAATCACACATGCAGGCAACCTTCCAAATCACGTTTTCGTAATTGGCACTCACTGACCCTTTCGGTTGTCAACGTGATCATGTATCTACAAACTGAAACAGGTTGCCTTTGGAAACATCTGTTCCGTACACGTGATCGACAAGATGACGCTGGTTCCATTACGAATATCGAGCTACCTGTTGATGTAAATACACTTTCAAACTCATATCGAAAATGAAAGCGATACGATCGAACCAATGAAGTAAATTCGTTCTGCGCAACGCTTTTAATAGCGTCACGCTGCGGGGTCATCTTTACCGAATGGTACGATTTTAAAAACTCCGTTATCCCAATTTCATACGTCTTTATTCACGATGTGATTATGCGGTATGATTTATTAAAGATGAATTTACAGATTCGGCAGGAAATAATTTTACGAACGGGGCTGGAATGTCTGCCAAGCTGATTTTTACGACACTGGCATGGATTCGCGAAAGCAGGAGACGCTGAAACAAAAACCGTTCACATTCTTCTCAGAAATAACCCTATGAAATTGGGACGAACGAAATGAAAAGCTGGCCAACGTTCAGCGACATATGCGGCTCACGTGAGAGAAAATTCGTTCCGCATTTCGCAGGTCAACTAAACAAAATGCACGCGTTGGTCGATCGTAGAAATCGATCAATTGCGAAAATAATGCAACTCGAGCGACCTTAATACGTTTTGCGTGCACAGGCGTGAATAAATGTTGCGTTTAAATAATAAACGTTGATTTAAGAAAAGGGGAGAGAATAGGGTAAATCTGAATAGACGAAAAAGTATGAAAATCAATTAAAGATATATTCAACGGATTAACGAGCGTCTCGCGTGTTGCGTGAGAATTAATTTCAGTTCGGCGATTCGTAAGAACAAGAGATACATAGTTGTGAGATGGAATCGACCCTAGTATTTAGTATTAACACGCTAACCGTATTATCGATCATTCTGGTGAAATTATTACAAGGCCACCAGCCCATATTGTTGAATGAAAGAAACGAATCGTATCGACTTTCCATACGGTAGAACGTATATACCGGGTGTCGCGCGTGAGTTCTCGCATTGTAGTGTGATCGTTTTACAAGAGCTCCACTACAAGTACACATGTGTAATGCAAACAGGAACGAATGCATAAAGACGTTGCACAGTTGGGTTAGGTCACCGAGATCGATGCATTATGCAACAAGTAGTCAAACTGAAGTGCAACGTTCAGCCTATTCGCGCGAAAATTCCATAAATATAGGTGGCATTCGTGTATGCCAATCTTAGCCATGATCGTTGATGGCGTCGACGTGTAAAGTATTGAGAAAATAATGCTTATGTTCTTTCTTGCGAACGAGAGCTTCGTCCTTGTGTAATCGTTGAACCTAATCAGAGAAGATGCGTGTACACGACGTGAACAAGCGTAACATTGAGTCAGATGAAATTTTGATTTGACTTAAATGCAATTACGCCCACGATTCGAGACATTCGAGTTATTTCGTCGTCGTGGAGATTCTTCGGAGATTCGTTATTACTGGGAAAGGGCGAGAAAAGCATAAGATCTAAAGAATGAAGAAGAAATAGTTGATAGCTCGAGAAGAATGTTTCCACTTTACAAGTTGAATGAAAAGTATTTAATTGTATGACTTTAATTTTATAACGTTATGGAATACGAGAAATCCAATAATTTTTAAGTGCGTAAAGTTAAAAATGTATAAGGTTTTTTAGTAACTTATATTTGCTTCTACTTGGCAAATATTGGAAAGGCAAACATTTAATGGAAATGCAAAGTTTCAAGTGAATCGTTTAACGTGAATTAAAGTTGCACGATAAATTTATATATTATAATTAAAATCGATTGATAATGCATATTTTCATTATACACATATTGATATTTTTCATAAAAGTTATATGTAAATATTATCTGTTAACGTTATATGCGTTTGTATCATAATCATAGGTCATTCTATATGAATTTTAAATGTTGATATACGATATAACCTCTAATACTTTATACACAGATTTGTCAGAATATGAGAGTGAAACATGTAGGAAATATAATACTCACAGGTACTGAGCCGAGTGTCCGTATCAACTATGCTGCCGTACGCATGTTGCCAGCTTGTCAGCATTTCACAGCGTTAGAAGATAAATCCAAGCAAACTCCAAGAAAATTACACAGCATGCACTAAGACACGAAACGTAACCACTAGCACACACCCGTTTCGCACCAGGGTAAAGTGGTACAAAAGGAAATATACAGTACTGCACTTAGCCTTAACAAGAACATACGATGTTTGATTACGATCAACTGATTGTTAGTGTCGATATAACGGGTTCTTAAATGGTGCTTACTTTCAATCTTTGACTCTTTCTTTCTTTTTGAAACGTTTCAGGGATCTGCACGAATCGGTAGCTCGCAAGCGATACTTCGTAGAAATACAAGCCGCGTGTGCGACACTATCAAGATCTACGTCGTCTGTCATAGGCGCTGTCTAGATTCTAAAGACTAGATGTAAAGCACGTAGAAGTAGCGTACATGTGACGGAATCGGTTATTTATTATTAACCCCCCAGGCCATAGGCGCGAAACGGCGTCCCTCTGCAAGTGTCATGGCGCCATGCGCTCAGAGTGATTCTCTTTCTACTGTAAGATGTCGCTACGTATCAATACAAGCGCTATCTATGATAGAATAAAAATACTCTTGCAACTAATATGCGTCGTGCTTTATGAGCGCATCGGTATTGTGGATTTGGTGAAAATATTTTTTAAATTTAAACTAAGTGATATTAGCATTTAAAATACATATCGAATATTAATATTAACTTACTAAATTTGTTAACTACTTTTAAAAATTGTAAGATACGTTGCAATATGATTTTGATACAATAGCAAAAATTATTAATAAATAATATTTCATATGAAAAAGAAACAATTCTCTTTTTGTTTTCGTTAAAAATTATAAGTACTGACGTCCATTTTAAGATGTGGTATAAAAATTGAAAGGAATATTTAAGGCAATTTATTGTAGTATAAGTGTTAATTATAAAACATTATTCTCATACAAATAATTTTTAAATAACAAATTTGAATGCTTTATTTCGTGATGCGAATCATATTCAGCTGAATATGTCAAACAAGTATTTAAAAATGGCCGCACGTACGAAGTAACTAAAAGTGATTTTGAAATTACAATCGATATATTCTTATAATCATCCTAGTAAATACGTCAATGGCCTAACTTATTTATAGTACCTACTTCTTTTTATTAGCCTGCCAAGTATTTTGACGTAAAAGCCTTGTGAATACCGATTCATACTTTTACACTTCCGTCTCACACATAAAATTTTGTCGAAGCAATTTCTGAGTCAGTCGTGCATTACTTATTTGACATGCATCTTTCCGCACAATCGGCTCTATAATACTTGCAGGTAAATGACACCCTTCTACTACTCGCATAATATCACGTTACTTTAAAGTCACGTCGCGATAAAAATTGTGCAACAAGGTTATCTGTGAAAATCCAACGAACAGAAAGGCATTTTTCAAGAGTGTAAGAATATTCCGTGCAAAGAACATGTCGCCCGGTGTTAACGATGGTCCACGCAATACAGGCACACTCCCAAAAAGCAATAGGAGAAATGATAGAAATAGAGAACGGTCAGCTGCTAATCAATTTGCAATCCGTTCTGCTTATCATGGACATGCACAGCACTCTAACAATTTGGTAAACTAATAAAAAAATATAAATGATACTTTTATTTTTAATATATTAATTTATATAATACTTTGTATTGAAATATTTGTTAAAAAGTGAGAAAATTAAAAAATAAACCTCAATAAGTTTGAATAATTTTGTTATGGCTTAATCTATATATTTTTATTCAAAATCCTAAAATATATACTATTGTTAATTAATATCTTGTTATAAAAATAACATTAAATTTGCTGTAACTTGAACTTTCCAAATGAAAACTTTATACAGCAATCTGTATATAGTAGTTTAAAAGATAATCTATTAATAGATAGCTGAATAGTGGGGAAGTTCTCTCTAAGAATACATATCCAGATACAATTCTACCTTGAGGCAGTAGAGTTTCAGTATTTCACTCATCATTTCTATAAAACATTGATAATTATCTGTATATCTAATTGACTTTTATTTTATAAATTATATGTGATAGTATCAATTGGATTGGAGACCAGTTGGTGAACAAGAGCATCTAAGGACAACAAAGAATAGTAACACAAGATCAGTTTCTTCAGTACCATCTACATCTTATCAAGACATACCTGAATTTGGTATATATTTCATTACTCTTGTTTTTGTATTTTTATAATATGTTTGTTAATAACTGGAAACTGTTATTATGTTAGTATCATTTGGTGGTCGAAGACCATATAATTACAGTGCTGAGGAATACTCAAATTGGCAAAAAATGGTTCCACCAACTGATTCTCAAACTCAATCTCCTCCAAGAGTTCAAGGAACAAAACCATCAAACGTTGATAAAATGGTAATATATTTTTTATCACACAGAACACTTTATTTTTTAAATTATTTATTTAAATTAGTATATAATTGCTTTTAATGTATTATAGCCTGATAGGAGCCAAGTAGAATCACGTTTAAATCAAATTAGGGATTATATCAGAGTTACATCAACTATGATGGATTCACTTAATCAATCCAGTGATCCAGTAAGTATAGAAAATATTAATCATGACATGACATTTTCAGTTTTTTCATACTGCTAAGTACTTTTCTCTCTATGTAATTATCTGTAGCGTGCACAAGCTCAAAATGAGAAGTTAAGTAGAATGGTGGAGGATCTTCATGATAGTGAAAGAAAACTGTCTAAACTCTTGGAACAATATGAAAATCATGGAATACTTTGTGAGGTTACTAAGCTTTCAGTGTTATTTACTAACTGTTTAAAGGCTGTACATAACTTTTTATGCATGCTCCATTAGATTGAAATCCACAAATTGTATTCCATGTCTATTAGTTTCTAGTCTTCGTTTTACTTTACAATCAGTGAATTATACAATTCTTCATTTATTTCTCTATTAGAATGGTGAAAATAGTAGAGAGAATGCAGAAGAAAATGGTGATGTAAGTAGAGAAATGCAGCTACGTAAGAAGATGGAGGAATCACAAAGGATACTTGCACAACTACAGGAACATCAAGCCAGCTTGGTTGGAATGCAATTACGGGTTAGAGAAAAATTAAACGAAGCACGGCAAGCGCAACAAGCTCTTTTACAACAAGAAAATCAGAATTCAATCGGTGTTTCACTACCAATGCCCATGAATGTTGAGCAACTTGAATCTGAAACAGCTGCATTAAAAGGAAAATTAGCTCAACTTCAAACAAAGAAAAAAAATATGGATCATCTTGTAGCAGAATTACAAGCTGTAGAAATGTCTGATAGAGGCAGTTGTGTTAGTATATTACTGATATTAATTAAATACGATTTTAAGTGACATATATAATTAACATTTCGATATTTTATTGTTAGAGTTCTGAAGCTTCAAGGAATTTTATAAGAGATAAAGCTGCAGAATTAGAAGCTATGAAAGCACAACTTGTTCATTTGAAATCGTTAATGGATGAAGCAACAAAAGTACGCGAATCTCTCGATTCTAATTCCGATGCTGAACCCGAAGTAGATGTTAATGGTGAAATTGCAGCTGATATGGACGGAAACGAAGATGAACATGGAACAAATATTTCATTTGAACGTCAAAGTGATATTGATGAAGCAAGTCACGAAAAAATTAGAAACACTGGAGATAGGCCAAGTGTTGAAGAAATTCAGGTATAAATCCAAAGGCAACTAAAAGGTAACTGTTATGTACTATTTCTATGAAACTTAAGTTGCAGGCGGTCACTCGAGAACTTCGAGAACAATCAGTTTTGTTACAAACTGCCAGGGCAGAATTACAACGAATAAGGCAACCATTGTCAACAATGCATTCTAATTCTACATCTATATTTCAAAGTTCAACTCCTCCTCCATCGCTCACAACATCAACTAGTTCAGAAAAGAAACTAAGTAATAATAACAATTATGAAGTCCAATCTACGCAAGGACGAAGACGACAAATTGATGATATTGTGCGAAAGGTATTTATTTTAAATTTTATTACTATACATGAGAAATGAGTTATTACTTATTTATTTTAAGTAATAACTTCTGTTTTATCGAAAAACAGGATTCATCTCAAGCATCTAGTATGAACCGTGACATAGGAGGACCACCTGATTTAAATAGTCACAGAAGTTCCAGTTCACACATTAGTCATACAGGTACACCTGCTAATGTTTGGCCACCTCAAACAATGATAGGTAATTTAAATGTATGTTATTTATAGCGCATTATTAATTTTGTAATTATATTTTAATGTACAGGTGGATCTAATGATCAAAGTGTAGATGGAGTATCTTCCGAAAATTTAATGGATATTGGGCCTCAAACAACGGCTGTCGAAAATGGATTCAGTGGAAATTGGTGGACATATCCACCGCCACCGTTAAATCAGTTACAACACGGTAAGAAGTATATGCACGAGAAGAAATTTTTGTTAAATATATATCAAATACTTTAAGTTTGAAATTCATCTTTTAGGTTCAACAGAGTATTATCGTCAATTATTGTTAGGTTCCCAAGCTCAGCAACTTCAAATGATGGGGACTACAATACAACAGTGTTGTCAGTTATTGTGGTCTCAACAACGTGAATTACAGGCTATGCGTACTGCTATTTCTCAATTACAAGTTCACCTGAGACAAACACAATTACAACAGCGAAACGATAGTGAGAATAACGATGAATATTCTAATTTAAGTCGCAATGTTCATCATCTTGGAGAAACATTAGATTCTGCATTGCCACCAAGTTCATCTTTACCAAATCTGGTGTCATTACCAAATTCTTCTCCAGCGTTATCTCACGTTGGTGCAACATCTTCTGTTAATTCGCAGCATCAACAGCAGCAATTGAATAATCAAGTTCCTCCTGGGAATAGAGCAAACAACTACTGGGACAATTTCAGAAGGTAATGGTATATACATATATATGTTAACTGACAGAAATTTTATTATTTGTCCTAGTGCAGTGGAAGTGTTATCTACATTGATACAACGGTATCATACGTTAAATCGAGATTTTCAATCATGTAATCATTTAATACAAAGATGTATTTGATAAAATTTCCAAATATAATTTGTTTTATGATTTATGGAATTCAATTTTACAGATCTTTTCTCTACGTGAAATAATCAATGTTTTCTTTTCAATTAAACATCAATAAAAAGAAAACAATTTTTTATGAGTTTAGGTATTTTATATTCGATAGATCGTGCACATCCATCTTTCATCTTTGTGTAAATCTAATGTATCATTACATAAAGTAATAAACTTCACGGTCTGTCTCTGCACTTTTTTGTCTTGTACTTCTTACTTATTACTACCCTCGTTTAAGCCATATCGCACATAAAATCCGTAATGATTTGATTCTGTAGACCAATGGTTAGTAAATATGAATCTAAATGAGGATAGTATATTGGTACGTAAATTATGGGTATGTAATACATGTTTGAAAATACATTTATTTGAAATATTTTGTCCTTTACTAACAATAAATGATCAATTAATAATAATCACATTTTTTTTTTCTTTGTGACATCTGTGGTGTTTCTTAGTTTTTACGGATCATGTATGTTAAAACATATCGCTTATTGTTATATTAGCTGTGTTAAACATTTTATTTCCTTTAGCATGGTATGAATAATTTCATTATAATTTTACATTTAAAATAATAAATGTATGTCTCTTTCTTACATTTTCAGTTATTCTAGACAAAACTTACTCTCAGGAAGTGTAAAAACAATGACTGATACTACTTCAGGACCTACTGCAAATTCAGCTTCTGGAAATACTATATCAAGTGTTAATACTTCTCTTATGTATGTAATTATGGAAATAATTTATAGCAAATCTATGAAAGTGATACGTATATTTTAATTCATACTGTAAATTTTAATCAAAGGAAAGACAAACGCAATCGGGATCAGGGAGCCGATAATATACCTCCACCTCCATTAAGTGGAATAGAAACACAGTATTCTTCAAACCTGCAATTACAATCTAATTTACAGCAACAAGAATGGGAAAATACTGTTATGCGTAGCAATATTTTAACAAATGAAGTATCTCAACAGCAAGTTGATAATATTTGGGAAGAAACACATTCATCATTTCGATTACCATCTGTAGTAAATGACGATAATCCATTTCAAAATTTAAGGTATGTTTTTCTTATTAAATTATTCTTTATTTTCTGAAAAAATGATAATAAAAATTTTGTAACATTTATTATATAGCTCCGAATTGAAAGAAGAACTAAGTTCACTTATTTCTATCAATAAAGTACGACCAGACTATCTGGTTATTATATTAAGAGAAATTCAAGCAATAAGCAGAGATCGCAGATTGCGTTCTCGTTTGTGGAGAACATTACGTGTTTTACAAGGTGCACGGATTTTAAGAAATCCATTGGTTTGTATATTTTTAATATGTATTTGCAATTAAATATATCAAATAATAATTCCAAAATATACCTATATCTTATTATTTTTAATTTTACAGAATAAAACAACTGATCCAACTGTCAGTGAAAGTTGGCAGACGACTGATGAAGATTCTGAGGTAGATGTACTAATAGGTTTGACACCAGAAAAGCATCCTGCAGCAGAATTAGTTGCATCATCACAAGCAGGAACTTCTTCATCTCCTACTGTACATGTACCCTTATTAGATCATTTGTATTTACCTGTAAGTATCACTGAGTAGAATATATTATATATCTTAGATAGAATATTATTTGATATTTTTTGTATATTTTATAGGGAATACATTCAGCTGATTCAACAAGTGCTTTACCTTTAACATCTTCTACTAAACCAGGTTACAATGAAGATCTGGCAGAAGCAGATCAGTCAAGACCTGAATCTTCTGGTAATCAACAGGTATTTTTGACACATATTTTGATAAACACTATTTGATTGAATAAAATAAAATGATTTTAATTTATTTATGTAGATTCCCGATAACCAGGAAGAGAATGAACAGGATCAAGGTGAAGACAGCTTGTCGAACTGCTGAAGCAAAATTTGATGAAAATGATTTGGAGAGTTTAGCTGCAAAAGCTGAAGATGAGAGACATGAAGTTAATGCAATGATATTCTGAACTTGAATATCATTAAAAAGCATCTTTAGTTGTATTTATATTAATTGAACATATCTTTTGTTTGTTATACATATTTTGTAATTGAATTGTGATGACATAAAAGAACAGTACATGCATTTCAATGCCATCTGAATTATTATCGTTTTTGTAACTATCATTAACTCATTTACATATTAATTGTTAATAATTCAGCTGAGTATGAAACATGTAACACATCTTTTTTACTGTTAATGTGCATTCTTCCAATCATAATAAAATTTGTAATTTAGGAAAGTAAGTATTTATTTTTAATTATATAGTACAATATAGTAACATATAAATGCATAGTATATGTATGCTTTGCGATACAAATACAAAAAATATAGACAAAAATCATTGTCAATTATTTTATCTAAAATTCTGCTTCAGAACCATCATTACTAATTAGTTGCAATCGATGAAACTGATATATAGAGCACCCATGTGTTTCAAATAAAATTTTTTCATATTCAATAGTATTTTCAATTGACTTTTGTCCACTATTGAACAGTAATGTTTCATAATTTGTATTCTTTAAAATATCATGATTATTTCCTGACCAGCAGCAGTTTTTATCCATAACCATAGATTGCTCCATATTATTATCAATAGTATTTACATGTAATGCTTCTGGTTTATATAGCACAGTAGTTGATCCATAGTCCTTTGTGCTTCCCATACCGTCTTGTACATAGTCCTTACCACCGTCTCTGAAAGGAAATTCATTGCCTTAACTCCTAATTTAACTAAGTATCTCCTATGCCATTCATTTTTTCAGCAAATTGTGTCCTTACCATCAAAAAAAGACCAAACTTACTAAGTGTCATTAGTTTATGAAAAAATATTAGCATCCATGCTTTCCATTGCATACCATTATCCATGGTAAAGAAGATGACAGGATGCATTAAGCTTCAAAATAAATTTAATGCCAGGATCGGATGAAAATCTCTGTGGTCACATGTAAATATACAACCCTTTTCCCACAAGGGGGAAACTGAATATTCATATATTTTAATATTCGTTGTTAGAGGGTATACAGTATTGTAGTAACGTTAAATAGTTTTTAAGAATGCATATTTCAGAACATTTTTTTTAATTTCGCGTTATTCGACAGATTTGTAACGCTAAAGACCTTCCCGCGTATAAAAACTTTCCCGCTCAAAATTATAGAAAGAACAAACAACGACCTCTAACAAGATCTATTCGAAGTATATACAAATATAAATTGATGAAATCGCGGTTTTATACAACGCGTTAATAAATAGATAATTGAAATATTCTTATTTATTCTTTATAGAAAAATAAAATTATAAATCCTCTCCTACCTTTTCGAAACTTTTTCAGTTGATTTGTAGGGTTGAGATCACTGTTGCGTCGTTTCCGGTTTCTGCATTGGAGAACGTCCGCACCATAAGTAGCTGGCTGTTGAAGTTGTAGTTTGTTATTAGCCTTTAACCGATTTTGTACTGATGCTTCTAGAATTATAGAATCATTATTCAAATAGCCAGATGCTATAGAATAATCACATTCATCTTCATCAGTTTCCATTAGTGTATCATACGAGTAGCAATTGAACAGCGATGGTTTCGTAATTTCGATATGCTCGAACATAACATTTTGATGATTTTTTTTATAACGTGGTATGCAATCGTAATGCATGTTTGATGAGATGAATGACGGAGCGACGGTTCTTGCGTTATACATAGTATCGCTTGTTATAGACATAACTATTCTTTTTTACAACCGATTTTTAATATTACAATGGATAGTAGTCTAGTACGTTACTATATATATATTTAGATATGTATATTTAATCACGCGACAGTAAGAAAATAGAGAACACTAAATACCGAACATAAAATTAACACTTTCCAACAACAGTAACGAATATGGTATGGGTTAGAAACCGAATCCGTTCGAGCAATGAATCGGCAACGTTCGGCCTTTCTCGCTCGATTTAGTTCGTTTCTTTAAATCCCCACCAATTGCAACAATCGACCCACACATGAAAATTTATATTGCTTGTGTCAGAATGTGACTCAACTTTTAAAATTATTTCTGAGTAATAAATTTATTTTTAAATTGATTTTCAAATAATCAAAATAAAATCGTGATATTTTCCTACAGTTTAAGATTATTGCCGATGCCACAATTGTATTGGTTAATACAGTATTATATAATATGTTAAAAATATTCTATCCAAAAAAATAAAATTAATATGCGTATATAATTGAAGATGTTAGTTCCATTTTTCAATATTTAAATAAATGTAATTTCAACATTTCTCCAAGTGTTTATAAAAAAAAATCACAGATACAGAACAAATGTATTGTTCCATAGAATTTTATTTCGATTTATGCATACTACTCTTTGCGTATCACTACCAACATTGCCGCTGGAATAATACTACAATCAAGACTGCCAGGCGTGTACAATTTATAGAACTTTACACTATTTTTCTATCACAAAGATGGGAGAAAAATGAAGCGCGAGGATTGGCATATACGACCGTAGGAATGTGGTTGATGACAAGGGCCATGGTTTTCCTGCCAGACATGTAAAATTTTGCAGAGTATTCCTCTACTTTTTATACGAAGGTAGGAACAAAGGACTAGGAGTTATATTTATTGATCTGTGTATTTCATTTCTTTTCCGTTATCTTATAAGATATTCAACGATATCTTCAATCTACAATGTATTGTCTTTATATATATATATTTGTATATATTTTTATTTATATATATTTATATTTAATGATGAGAACAATTATAATGCAACAGTTTTATCAAGTATTGTTGTCCCAAAATTTTACATTACATACACAAATGTCACTATGCAAACAGCTATTATGCAGATTACAAGTTCACCTGAGATAAACAAAACTACACAGCGAAATGATTGAGAATAACAATGAATAATTCTAAATTAAGTCACAATGTTCATCATCTTAGTGAAACATTAGATTATGTATTACCAACAAGTTCATCTTTACCATATTTATCTCCTGCATTATTTTATGTTGCATCAACATTTTCTGTTAATTCTCAGCATTAACAACAGCAATTAATTACAGTACAGAGGAATACTCACATTGGCAAACAATGGTTCCACCAACTGATTCTCAAATTCAATCTCCTCCAAGAGTTCAAAGAAAAAAACCCTCAAACATTAATAAAATGGTAATATATTTTTTATCATACAGAACACTTTATTTATTAAATTATTTATTTAAATTAGTATATAATTGCTTTTAATGCATTATAGCCTAATAGAAGCCAAGTAGAATCACGTTTAAATCAAATTAGGGATTATATCAGAGTTACATCAACTATGATGGATTCACTTAATCAATCCAGTGATCCAGTAAGTATAGAAAATATTAATTATGACATGACATTTTCAGTTTTTTCATACTGCTAAATACTTTCCTCTCTATGTAATCATCTGTAGCATGCACAAGCTCAAAATGAGAAGTTAAGTAGAATGGTAGAGGATCTTCATGATTGTGAAAGAAAATTGTCTAAACTCTTGGAACATTATGAAAATCATGGAATACTTTGTGAGGTTACTAAGCTTTCAGTGTTATTTACTAACTGTTGAAAGGCTATACATAATTTTTTATGCATACTCCATTAGATTGAAATCCACAAATTGTATTCCATGTCTATTAGTTTTTAGTCTTCATTTTACTTTACAATCGGTGAATTATACAATTTTTCATTTATTTCTCTCCTAGAATGCTGAATACAATAGACAGAATGCAGAAGAAAATGGTGATGTCAGTAGAGATATGCAGCTACGTAAGAAAATGGAGGAATCACAAAGAATACTTTCACAACTACAGGAACATCAAGCCAGCTTGGTGGGAATGCAATTACGGGTTAGAGAAAAATTAAACGAAGCACGGCAAGCGCAACAAGCTCTTTTACAACAAGAAAATCAGAATTCAATCAGGGTGGCACTACCAATGCCCATGCATGTTGAGCAACTTGCATCTGAAACAGCTGCATTAAAAGGAAAATTAGCTCAACTTCAAACAAAGAAAAAAAATATGGTTCATCTTGTAGCAGAATTACAAGCTGTAGAAATATCTGATAGAGGGAGTTGTGTTAGTATATTACTGATATTAATTAATTATGCTTTTAAGTAACATATACAATTAATATTTCGATATTTTATTGTTAGGATTCTGAAGCTCAGAGGAATTTTATAAGAGATAAAGCTGCAGAATTAGAAGCTATGGAAGCAGAACTTGTTCATTTGAAATCGTTAATGGATGAAGCAACAAAAGTACGCGAATCTCTCGATTCTAATTCCGATGCTGAACCCGAATTAGATGTTAATGGTGAAATTGCAGCTGATATGGACGGCAACGAAGATGAACATGGAACAAATATTTCATTAGAACGTCAAAGTGATATTGATGAAGCAAGTCATGAAAAAATTAGAAACACTGGAGATAGGCCAAGTGTTGAAGAAATTCAGGTATAAATCCAAAGGCAACTAAAAGGTAACTGTTATGTACTATTTCTATGAAACTTAAGTTACAGGCGGTCACTCGAGAACTTCGAGAACAATCAGCTTTGTTACAAATTACCAGGGCAGAATTACAACGAATAAGGCAACCATTGTCAACAATGCATTCTAATTCTACATCTGTATTTCAAAGTTCAACTCCTTCTCCAGCACTCACAACATCAATTAGTTCAGTAAAGAAACTAAGTAATAATAGCAGTTATGAAGTTCAATCTCTGCAAGGACGAAGACGACAAATTGATGATATTGTGCGGAAGGTATTTATTTTAAATTTTATTACTATCCATGAGAAATAACATTCGATGCTTATGTTACTATTTCTGTTTCATTGAAAAACAGGATTCATCTCAAGCATCTTGTATGAATCGTGACATAGGAAGACCACCTGATTTAAATAGTCACAGAAGTTCCATTTCACACATTAGTGATATAAGTACACCTGCTAATGTTTGGCCACCTCCAACAATGATAGGTAATTTAAATATATATTATTTATAGTGTATTATTAATTTTGTAATTATATTTTAATGTACAGGTGGATCGAATGATCAAAGCGTAGATGGAGTATCTTCCGAAAATTTAATGGATATTGGACCTCAAGCAATGGCAGTCGAAAATGGATTTAGTGGAACTTGGTGGACAACTCCAACGCCACCGTTAAATCGGTTACAGCACGGTAAGAAGTATATGGACAAGACAAAATTTTTGTTAAATGTGTATCAAATACTTTAACTTTCAACTTCATCTTTTAGGTTCAGCGGAGTTTTATCGACAATTATTGTTAGGTTCCCAAGCTCAACAACTTCAAATGATGGGAACTACAATACAACAGTGTTGTCAATTATTGTGGTCTCAACAACGTGAATTAGAGGCTATGCGTACAGCTATATCTCAATTAGAAGTTCATCTGAGACAAACACAACCACAACAGCAAAACGATAGTGAGAATAACGATGAATATTCTAATTTAAGTCGCAATGTTCATCATCTTGGAGAAACATTAGATTCTGCATTGCCACCAAGTTCATCTTTACCAAATCTGATGTCATTACCAAATTCTTCTCCAGCGTTATCTCACGTTGTTGCAACATCTTCTGTTAATTCGCAGCATCAACAGCAGCAATTGAATAATCAAGTTCCTCCTGGGAATAGAGCAAACAACTACTGGGACAATTTCAGAAGGTAATGGTATATACATATATATGTTAACTGACAGAAATTTTATTATTTGTCCTAGTGCAGTGGAAGTGTTATCTACATTGATACAACGATATCATACGTTAAATCGAGATTTTCAATCATGTAATCATTTAATACAATGATGTATTTGATAAAATTTCCAAATATAATTTGCTTTAGATTTATAGAATTCAATTTTACAGATGTTTTCTCTATTTAAAATAATCAATGTTTTCCTTTCAATTAAACATTGATAAAAAGAAAATAATTTTTTATGAGTTTAGGTATTTTATATGCGATAGATCGTGCACATCCATCTTTCATCTTTGTGTAAATCTAATGTAATTACATAAAGTAATAAACTTCACGGTTTGTCTCTGCACTTTTTTGTCTTGTACTTCTTACTTATTACTACCCTAGTTTAAGCCATATCGTACATAAAAGCATTATTTGAAATATTTTGTCCTTTACTGACAATAAATACTCAATTAATAATAATTACATTTTTTTTCCTCTGTGACATCTGTGGTGTTTTTTAGTTTTTACAAGTCATGTATGTTAAAACATATAGCTTATTATTATATTAGTTATGTTAAACATTTTATTTTCTTTAGCATGGTATGAATAATTTCATTATAATTTTACATTTAAATTAATAAATGCGTCTTTTTCTTACATTTGCAGTTATTCTAGACAAAACTTACTCTCGGGAAGTGTAAAAACAATGACCGATACTACTTCAGGATCTATTGCAAATGCAGCTTCTGGAAATAATGTATCAAGTGTTAATACTTCTCTTATGTATGTAATTATGGAAATAATTTATAGCAAATCTATGAAAGTGAAACGTATATTTTAATTCATATTGTATATTTTAATCAAAGGAAGGACAAACTCAATCGGGATCAAGGAGCCGATAATATACCCCCACCTCCATTGAGTGGAGTAGAATCACAATGTTCTTCCAACTTGCAATTACAATCTAATTTGCAGCAACAGGAATGCGAAAATACTGTTATACGTAGCAATATTTTAACAAATGAAGTATCTCAACAGCAAGTTGATAATATTTGGGAAGAAACACATTCATCATTTCGATTACCATCTGTAGTAAATGACGATAATCCATTTCAAAATTTAAGGTATGTTTTTCTTATTAAATTATTCTTTATTTTCTGAAAAAATGATAATAAAAATTTTGTAACATTTATTATATAGCTCCGAATTGAAAGAAGAACTAAGTTCACTTATTTCTATCAATAAAGTACGACCAGACTATCTGGTTATTATATTAAGAGAAATTCAAGCAATAAGCAGAGATCGCAGATTGCGTTCTCGTTTGTGGAGAACATTACGTGTTTTACAAGGTGCACGGATTTTAAGAAATCCATTGGTTTGTATATTTTTAATATGTATTTGCAATTAAATATATCAAATAATAATTCTAAAATATACCTATATCTTATTATTTTTAATTTTACAGAATAAAACAACTGATCCAACTGTCAGTGAAAGCTGGCAGACTAGTGATGAAGATTCTGAGGTAGATGTACTAATCGGTTTGACACCAGTAAAACATCCTGCAGCAGATTTAGTCGTATCATCACAAGCAGGCACTTCTTCATCACCTACTGTACATGTATCCTTATTAGATCATTTGTATTTACCTGTAAGTATCACCGAGTAGAATATATTTTTGTACATCTTAGGTAAAATATTATTTGATATTTTTTGTATACTTTATAGGGTATTCATTTAGCTAATTCTGCAAGTGTTTTACCTTTAACATCTTCTACTAAATCAGGTTACAATGAAGATCTGGCAGAAGCAGATCAATCAAGACCTGAATCTTCTGGTAATCAACAGGTATTTTTAACACATATTTTGATAAACACTATTTGATTGAATAAAATAAATTGATTTTAATTTATTTATGTAGATTCCCGATAACCAGGAAGAGAATGAACAGGATCAAGGTGAAGACAGCTTGTCGAACTGCTGAAGCAAAATTTGATGAAAATGATTTGGAGAGTTTAGCTGCAAAAGCTGAAGATGAGAGACATGAAGTTAATGCAATGATATTCTGAACTTGAATATCATTAAAAAGCATCTTTAGTTGTATTTATATTAATTGAACATATCTTTTGTTTGTTATACATATTTTGTAATTGAATTGTGATGACATAAAAGAACAGTACATGCATTTCAATGCCATCTGAATTATTATTGTTTTTGTAACTATCATTAACTCATTTACGTATTGATTGTTAGTAATTCAGCTGAGTATGAAAAATGTAACGCATCTTTTTTACTGTTAATGTGCATTTTTCCAATCATAATAAAATTTGTAATTTGGGAAAGTATTTATATTTAATTATATAGTACAATATAGTACCATATATAAATGCAAAGCATATAAGTTGTAATGTTCATCACCTTGGTGAAACATTAGCTCATATATAGACAAGTCAATCTTTATCAAATTCTTCTCCTGCATTATCTTATGACACCGCAAAATTTTTTGTTAATTCTCAGCATTAACAACAACATTTGAAAAAATTTATTTTATAGGAATCTAAATGTAATCACAGCACAAATGATGTATATAATAGATTTATCACCCGTACAGTTTCGAGTCATTTTTGAAGGGCTTTAGAGTACCTTTGTCATTTTCATCGTTACCGATTTAGTATAGAATAAGATTACAATGTTCATAGTGATTGGTTAGGTTTTGGAACTAAATTTTGGTCTGAAATTATAAATAAGCTGTAATAAGTGTTGTATATAAAAGTTAAGCGGTCACATAAAATATTGCAAAAGAAATACAAAGAAAATTTAGAACTTGCTAGAACCAACTGTAGTATATGCAGTTTCATAACGTTACAACTATATACAGAGGACACATCTTTTGCTTACTCCGTAGCTAAAACAGAAATAGAAGTCGGAAACTGAATCTGTAATTTACGTATTAAAATTGTGTTGTAATTAAAATATTGAAGTAACAATTATTGTATTCAATATGTCATTTGCGATTTAATGTTCCTTTACCATATGTTGATATAAGTACGTATGGTAACTTATTATTTGATTTGATTACAGCAGTAGTTAATAAATGAACAACTGCGTCACAGGTTATATAGTATAATTTATTAGTGTATTTTCAATAAATATTAATTAGGTCGAAGCTATGAATATTCTTACGCAGATATGATAGTATGGAATAAATTTCAAGTACTTTTTTTGTAACTTTATCAAGTTAATGCAAAGAAGAGAAGGAAGTATCGTTTGAAGCAAATTACATGAACGACTGTTACGAAAGTTTGTGAGATAAGGTAAGAAACTTTTATTTGATTCGCACATTTGTAAATACTATAATCGAGGTAATTTTCATTTGCGGTTTTAAAACTACATGCTTCTTCAACGTCGTACCATTTGTCATACTTATAAATTACGGTAATATGACTAAAGTCATTTAACTGCTCGTAATTAATATAAAAAAATATCTGTGGAATAGAATATTTATATATGAAAGCATACTCAACATACTATCCAAATGCTTCACAATTTTTCAAGGTTGCAAAATATCCCCTCGTCTAAGTAAATCCCTACCTAGGTAAATGATTACACGTTACCATGCTTGCGCCCTTTTTGCCTTCGAAAGAGCCGTTCCCGGATAATTTCGGTATTTACGGGATTAATGTTTGTACTATGAACAATATATATAAAGTGATGGGTTTTCGATAGATCGGCAGGACAGCTGCCGTGGACACACGCCGCTAAGCTGCTTACGTCAATTCATGAAAACTTTTGCGCTTTTTTGGAAAATCGATCTCTAATCCGACAGGCATTAGAATTATCGGTAATTTCGTCAGAATGAAATGATAATTGATTCGAGGGGAACATTGTGAACGAACCCTTAACGGATTGTTCTGTGTTAAAATGGCGCGTGTTTGCACACGAAAATTGTATAGCTATATTGAAAAGAACCTTTATATAAGATATCATTATCGATTACTGTACATTCAAAAATTCTTCACAAAGATTTTACACATTTCTTATAACCAATTCAATTAAACGGAGATTGTTCACGTGACTAGTTAAATATTTTTTAAAGTGATCGATTAAAAATATACTCAACGTACGATAAAACAAATGCCAAACCTATTTTAAGTATACTGACGATTGTATTATGATTGTAGTAACATTTTTACCGTTGAATCGTAGCTAGATTACTGGCACATCACGAAACTTCAAACAGGAGAATTATAGTCACGAAGGATACGATCGTTGTTCTTTAACGTACATATTTACTATACCTATATCCATGTTGAACAAGAACAAGCCTAATTCTGAATTATGTGAAACGTATGGTAAGAGATTACAAGTTACAAATGAGCCTCATATTTTGTCGGATTATATCCCGTTTGATGCGGAATTGAAAGAAGAACCGCAGACCTGAGTAAATAAGACAAATGGTAATATGTGGATCTTTATACCAGCAGCTTGCCAATAGAGGAAACTTCGACAGCCACTGTATCATGGTTGATACGTGTGAATACGTAGAAATGGTAGCATATGTTCATAGAGAATATCGTATAATTCACGAGAATGTCATTTCCAATAGTAGATCGAAAGGATCAGCCGATGATCGATTTGATACAAGAATTATTGCGAATATAAAAAGTCCCTGGATCTAGTGGTTTTGCGAAGACGAAGAAAAATATTATTTTCGTGATCCGAATTTATTCTATCGATGCCATGGACATGTAATTAAGAAGCTTCTAGTGCAGGTTGCTGTTCCATCTCTCTTGAAAATTTGCCTAGTGGAAAACGAGTAATGACGTAATTTAATGTGACATGATTAATTGGAAACTAATGCTACGCAGACTTTTAATTAAGGAATAGTAATTAAGACTTCGGACGAAGCAAAGACTGGAGATACTTACTGATTATTTTCAATGATATTATCTTTCATCTCGAGACTTCGCTGTTCGCTATACGGATACTGTATAAGCGCAGTTGGAAGAAATTAATTAATGGGAAGCAGCCATGACGGTTGACGGTTATCTCGGGTCATTAGAAAGGATAGATTTCAGTATGTCAAGGATCTTGGTTATCATTTAATCAATGACATTCGACGATTTACTGAAATTGCAAGGTTTCTTTATTTCGATATCAAATAATGTATAAAATAATAATTAAAAATTGCCTGTTCACAAATATCAAAAAGTAGAACATGTATTTTCTTCGTTTTCATTCTGACTGGAGGAAGCCACTGTGGTTAATCGGCTTACAAGTCGTGTTTTTCGCAGGAAATTCCAGTGCAGAAGGACGTTTAAGTCACCACATGACACGAGTCAATATTTGACACATAATGCACTCGATACAATGCACTTCCAAACGGACTTTACGGCCAAAAAATCCAATATTACGCCTCACTTTTTCACGGACGGTGTTATTTTAGGCTCGCTTTGACAAATTTATCGACTCTGTCCACAAGGATGTTCCAAACGCTTTGTCGGACGTATTGGTGAGCAGCTAACGCAGCATAATCTGAAAGCAATGCTATACTTATGGAAACTCGAACGAAACTTGTATTACACCACTTGACTTATTTCTTCCACTAGTCTTAAGAATATTCATACATCGTAAATTCATCTAGAAACACAGAAACCTACTCACTGCCAGCGATCATTTTTACATTTACACAGTCGTGAGAACGAATTCGTTCGATCGAACGCCTCGCGTCTACCGTGCACATAACCTCTCCAGCGGGATATAATTTATCGCAAAGTAAGCATTGCGTAGCTAACACAGCATAACTAAAGACGAGCCCTACTGGCACTCGACGTCACTCGAACACAATATCGAAATGCTTTTGCTGAAACGGTGTCTCTCGGTGTGTCGTTCGAGTTTACGTTAGTAAAAGGGGGCTCGAACACTGTCAACGTTATACGAGCGATTCGATCCGCGTTTACGACAGTGGGGAGAGACGTTAAGTAGGCGAGTCCTCTCCGTACTCGTACAGCCTGCTGTGTTCGTCGACGGAGCGCCGTGAAGCTGGTCAAATGAAAAGAAAATTAAAAGCTGCGAAAGTAATGATCATTATTCGTAAACGCTTTCACAGGGATTTACGTGAATGAACGAACTCGCATCTAAGTACATAATTTCACCTTATCTTTCCGATCAATCGATGGCTCTTGGTTAAATCACGGTAGTCCTGATTTAATTCCATACCTTTCTCCTTTCTACGTATTTCGTCTCAGTACACGGAGTCGTTCAATTTCCCCCTTCTTCGCGTACTTCTCCCGGGCTACGCCATTACTCTTCTCCGATAGGTCGTTCGTTCTTCGATGGTCTTTCTACCAAACGAATATTTTTCACCGGTGCAGGATATTTAATAAATACGATACGAGCATAAAATATCGGAGACCTTGCAGTAAGGCCACTATATATTTGCTTCCAGTAATTAAATATCAAGTAAATAATACTTTTGATATGGCAATCATTGAGCGCTATATGAATCAAAAATTGCAGTTTATTGCGTTTACCGGCTGCAAGTCGCTGGCAAAATTTCGTATTTATGAATGAAATGCGAGACGGTATTTCGTTTCGAATTCGTTGTTTTATACGATGATTGCCTCAGTCCCCCGGATGGGTATTTAACCAGTCTAGAAAAAAAGGACAAAGAGGAAGGATTATTTCGTTTGCGTAAGTACTTTGGCATTCTGTTTCACAAAGTGTTCTATTCTGAGCCGGCTCGTAGGTTCATAACTCGCGCCTAGATTTAAGTAAATGGATGGTATTTAATTTTCACGATTTTCCGTTACCAGTGGAGCAACCAACAAAACGGTTTTTGTTCCATCGAAGAGCGAAGAAGTCTCCTCGCCATCGTCACAGGGAAGGAAAAAGTGGAGGAAAAATTAGTTCCAGTCGTTGGTAAGTTTGCAGCGTCGAGGCTTTCGTCCGGCAACGGACCAAATTAAATTTTCGTCTGTGTTTCAGAAGCAGAAAACCGAGCGAATCGCTGTTGTTGTCGATTTTCTCTCCTCCCGGCGATATTCCTGATTCTGAAAATTGGCTCGATAAATCGTACGTTGGTTCAACAATGTTCCCGATGCCTAACAATTTGAAGCTCCAACCGGGCAATTTTCGCTCAGCGAATAAACATTTTCGTTTCTGAAG